TATGTGCCTGACCGGAAATTGAACCTGCAGCCTTTTGGTTCATGGGACCATCCTCCAACCAACTGAGCCACCTTTAATTTTTCCATTTTTTATAGTTAGATGTTCTCTTTAGTTCCTATTCAAAACTGCTTTGTGGTTTTTAATAATCTCCTTCACTTTACCCATGTTTTTGATTTCTTTTTAATAAACATTTTATTTTCCGTGTTCTATACTTTCTATATCTAAAGGTTTGGGTGGGTTATATATATTTTTTCCTATCCTTCATAGTACCTTATTTCCTTTTATATTTTGTATCTTTATTAACTTGTTTCTTGTAACTGTATCAGTGGGTGTTTCTAAAGATCTAGAAATATGGTGTATTTCATTAAGAGATTTAATTTTTTTTCTGTTCAAGTAGCTGACAACAGTTTTGAAATGAGACCACATTCAACTCATTTCTTAGTGTGATGTTTTTCTGAGCACCCTGGAATTATGAATGTGGGTAAAAACTCCACATGCAAGTCAACATATAGTTATAAATTCTTAGGAGAGATTTTTTTTTTTTCCATTCCCCTCTTCCATTATGAAGATAATTTTCCTTGCAGTTCTCTAGTTGGGTACAGGGAAAGGGACTGATGCTTTTAGTACACCCTTCTACTGAAATCAGCTTTGTATTAGGAAAACTAGATTCTGCCAGTCCACCATCAGCCCCCATTCAGTAAAAAGTTAAAACTTCAAAATTATAAACACATTTGAAAACTTTTAAATTTTATTAAGAATATATAGCCTGGCCAGTGTGGCTCAGTGGTTAAGCATTGACCCATGCACCAAGAGGTCACCGGTTCAATTCCTGGTCAGGGCATATGCCCAGGCTGTGGGCCAAATCTCCAATGGGGGTCATGCAGGAGGTGGCCAATTGATGTTTTTTCTTATCAATGTTTCTATCTCTCTTTCTCCCTTCCTCTCTCTCTCAAATCAATAAAGAAAAAATATTTTAGCCCTGGCCAGTTTGGCTCAGCAGTTAAGAGTGTTGGCCTGCGGTACGGAGAGACCCAGGTTCGGTTCCCACTAAGGACATGTACCTCGACTGCAGTTTGTCCCCGGCCCTGGTTGGGTCGTGTGGGTGGCAACCCCTCGATGTGTTCCTTTCACGTCGATGTTTCTCTCTCTCTCTTCCCCCCCCTCCCACTCTCTGTGAACAAAATGTCCTCGGGTGAGGATAAAAAATATATATATATATATTTTTTAAAAAATAAATAAATAAAATAAAATTTAAAAAAATATGTAGCATTAGGGATTAAGAAGTACAAATTGGTTTGTTAGACTGAAGAACCTCAAAGGGAAACTGGGGGCAGGAAGAGATAAACCAGAGAACTTATATGCACATATGCATAACCAGTGGACACAGGCAATAGTGTGGGGAAGGCAGGAGCGGGTTGGGAGTGGGGCGGGATGGGATCAGTGGGGGAAACAGGAGGGACATCTGTAATACATTCAAGAATCAAGCTAAGCCCTGGTCGGTTTGGCTCAGCGGTTAGAATGTTGACCTGCAGTCCAGAGAGACCTGGGTTCGGTTCCCGCTAAGGGCATGTACCTTGGTTGCAGTTTGTCCCCAGCCCTGGTTGGGTTGTGTGGGTGGCAGCCACTCGATGTGTCCCTTTCACATCGATGTTTCTCTCTCTCTCTCTCTTCCTCTCTCTCTCCTACTCGATCTGAACCAAAATGGAAAAATGTCCTTGGATGAGGATAAAAAAAATAATAATAGTATAATAAAGATAAGTTTAAAATAAAATCCTAATTAAAAAAAAAAGAATATGTAGCATTGTTTGGGTGTTCAAATGTAATCATATACATAAATACCAAATCACAAATGACTCTTTTATTTTTATTTTTTTAGAAAGAGGAAGGAAGAGAGAGATAGAAACATTAATGTGAGAAACATCAATCGGCTGCCTCCTTCACAGACCCTACTGGGAATCGAGCCCGAAACCTGGTCATGTGCCCTAACCTGGAATTGAACTGGGAATTCTCAGTCCATGAGACAACACTGAATCCACTGAGCCACACCGGCCAGGCGACAGTTTAATTTTTTTAATAACTAGAATTAGTTGATCAAATAATTTGTTGTATCTGTAATAGGAAGGTAGTTATAATATGACCTCTCGGCCAAAAAATATAAAAGTAGGCTTGTTCAATAAAAGAGAACATTCTGATATTGCTAAAATAATGTTCTTACTCTGTATTTTAACAATTTACAGTATGATAGCACAGAAAAATAGCCAGTATCAGACATACCTCGATTTTCATTTAAAGCCCAAGAATTAATTACATTTCATTGTTTATGTCCATCATTTCTGGAGGAAGCATTCTCACTCTTGAAAAATCAAGAATAAGATACATTATTATATTTTCTCTCATTTGTTCTTATTCTAATTTCCCCCCAAAACTCTATATGCTTTAATTTCTTTTTTTTTTTTTTTTTTTTTTATCCTCACCCGAGGACATTTTTCTGTATTTTGTTCAGATAGAGTGGGAGGGAAGGAGAGAGAGAAACATCGATGTGAAAGGGACACATTGAGTGGTTGCCACCCACACGACCCAACCAGGGCCGGGGACAAACTGCAACCAAGGTACATGCCCTTAGCGGGAACCGAACCTGGGTTCCGCAGACCAACACTCTAACCGCTGAGCCAAACCAGTCAGAGCTAATTTCTTTTTTTATACAGCTTCATTAAACAAAATTCATACACAGTACAGTTCACCTATTTAAAGTGTAAAAATCAGTTATTCTTAGTATATTCACAGAGTTTTGCAGTCAATTTTAGAACATTTCATCACCCCAAAAAGAAAGATTGTTAATTGTTTTTTCCATTTTCCCTGACCAATTGTTGGAAACTACTAATCTACTTTCTGACTCTATAGATTTCTGGACATTTCAAATAAATTGAATAATGCAATACTTGGTCTTTGTGGATGAGTTCTTTCACTTAGTATCATGTTGTCAAGGTTAATCCCTGTTGTAGCATGTATCAACACTTCATTTGCTCTTTTGCCAAATACTAATTCCATGTATGGATATGCCACATTTTATTTATCCATTCAGGACTTGAGAGATTTTGGGGATGTTTCCACTCTGGCTATTGTCTATAATGCTACTATGACCATTTACATACAGATTTTTTTTTTTTTTTATCCTCACCCGAGGATATTTTTCCATTTTTTGTACAGATAGAATGGGAGGGAGAGAGAGGAAGGGAGAGAGAGTGAGAAACATCGACGTGAAGGGACACATTGAGTGGCTGCCACCCGCACGACCAACCAGGGCCGGGGACAAACTGCAACCGAAGTACATGCCCTTAGTGGGAACCGAACCCGGGTCTCTCCAGACCGCAGGCCGACGCTCTAACCGCTGAGCCAAACTGGCCAGGGCTACATACAGATTTTTGTGTGAACATAAATTTTTATTTCTTTTGGGCATAAACCTAAGAGTAGACTTGCTGGATCACATGATAATCGTTAACTTCTGAGGAACTGCTACACTGTTGCCCAAAGCAGCTGTACCCTTTACAGTGTATAAAGTTTCCAGTTTCTCCACCTTTTTACCAATACTAATCTCTCTTATTACAGTCAATTTAGTGGGTATGAATTGATATCTTGTTGTGGTTTTGATGTACATTTCTCTAGTGGATAACAATGTTGAGCATCTTTTCATGTGCTTATTCACATCTTTGGAGAAATATCCATTGTGATCCTTTGTGCATTTTTAATCCAGTTATTTGTCTTTATTATTGAGTTGTAAAGTGTTCCTTATGTTTTCTAGATACAAGTCTCTTATTAGACACATGATTTGCAAAAATTTTCTCCTGCAGGTTGTCTTTTCACAGTACTAAAACTTTTAGTTTTTATGATGTCCACTTTATTATTTTTCTTATATTAATAAGCTTATGCTTTTGGTATATCTAAAAACACATTGCCTAATATGAGATCAAAAAGATTTACGTCTATCTTTTCATCTAATGAAAATTTTTTTTTATCCTCACCCGAGGACATTTTTTTGCATTTATCTTCAGATAGAGCGAGAGAGAGAGAAATATTGATATGAGAGAGACACATCGACTGGCTGCCACCCACACAACCCCAACCGGGGCTGGGGACAAACTGTAACCGAGGTATATGCCCATAGCAGAAACTGAACCTGGGTCTCTCTGGTCCGCGGGCCAACGCTCTAACCACTGAGCCACACCGGCCAGGGCGAAAATTTTTTAATTAAGGTTTTTTAGCAGTGTCAGTAAAGAAAATTTTAAGGGGCAAAAAATACCCACAATCGACCTAGGAGTCATTTATTTTTGAAATGCTGTTGTGTCCTTGTCCAATGTATGCATATTTTTATCATTGCTATTGTTTTTTAAGTACTGTGTTTTGTTCTGATATTTTTGTGTTTATACATGATATTCATAATTTTAACCTTAAGGCTGTATAATATAGCCAGCTTATTTTTCAGTTGTGTAATACAACTTTTTTATAATTTTGTTTTTACTATATGATAAAATTCTAGTTAACACTGACAACACATAACTTTTTGCTTATAGTGAATTATTTTTTTAGTATAACTTTTAGGAATGGAATTTTGGGCTCAAAGGATGTAAACATCTTTATAGCTCCTATATGATGTCACATTACTTCTAGAAAGCACTAAACTGCCTTTGTTTAGAAAACATGCTTTACTTTTTTTGTTGTTTTTCATTTATTTTGAAGTTGATGCACATTATAAGAATTTTACTTGGAGTGGCAATATTGTCAGTGATAATCCTCTATCAATAAAACTCATGATAAATGTGTATTCTTCATCTGAAAAAATAATAATAGTGGTACATCTAATAGGACACTTTGTACTGATACTGAAAACTGTACCAGCCAATTGCCTTGTTGATTGAAGATAAATGTGATATACTTAAAATTTATTATTTTATGGCATCCTCTACTTTAAGCACTGATGGTATATTTTGTTAAATTTTCTTTAGGCTTCGGGAGCAGGAAAGAAAAGAAGCAGAAGAAGCTAGTCAAAAGGAAATAGAAGAATGGGAAAGAAGACTTCTAGCTCAAGCAGCTCCAACTTGTATGGAGACCATGTGGGAAATTCCAGCTATTGGGCATTTCCTTTGTTTAGCCCAGCAAATTCTAAATTTGCCAGAAATAGTCTTTTATGAATTGGAACGTTGTCTTCTTATGCCTCAGTGTAATGCTTTTTTGTCTAAAATAATGACTTCTCTATTAAGTCCTCCTCATCGCAGACCTACCTTACATCGAAGACCTACTTTGCCTTACAGGACCTGGGAGGCAGCACTGAGACAGAAAGTACAACAGTGGTACACTGCTGTAGGGCAGACTGAAAATCCCAATAACTGTGCTGAAAAACTTGGGTTGTGTCCTCAGTTTTTTAAAGTTCTTGGAGAAGTTAATCCATTGGAAGAAAAACCTTTTCATGAACTACCTTTCCACCAAAAAGTGTGGTTACTTAAGGGTCTTTGTGACTTTGTGTATGAAACGCAAAAAGAAGTTCAAGATGCTGTACTTGGACAGCCTATTCATGAGTGCAGGGAAGTTATCCTTGGTTATGATTATTTGGAGAATGCTTATGTACATTTTCCACAGTTTTGTGGTGCAGATGTACGGATTTACAAGCAGAGACCTTTTCAGGCCCCAGAATTTCCAGTTCCACCCATTAAAATACAAAGAGTACCTCGGATTAAACTGGAGAAATTGAAGTATGACTATTTTAGTACAAGTAATGGAGAACATAGGTGTAGTAGAGAAGGCTTGCCCTCTGCCTTCAAGAAAGAGCAAGAAATTAATTTTGATCCAACTTGCTGCCCTGCTAAAATGAACTTGGATAATCATGACATCTCTGTTGAAATGGGAGTGAAATCCAACTGTGAAATTAGAATTCGCAAGCCCTGTGAAATTAAGAAAACTGATTGTTGTAAAGAAAATTTAGAGAAACCAGGGAGTCCAGGGGAAGTTACTGGCTTTGGAGAACCTCTCAGTCCAGGTGAAATAAGGTTTATAGAAAATCACGAAAGATATGGTGAAGCTTCCAGAGTAAAGCCTGAACCCAGTCCATTCAAAGAAAATGCTCTGAAATCTTGCCAAATACATGTAAATGGAAGTCACAGTGATCACGCAGAAATTAGCTGCCACAAAGTTGTAAGGGATATTCTATTAGACCAGTCACTGCAGAGCCACAAGAAACTCAAGCTAACTAAAATGAGGGCAAAAAAGAAGAAAAAGAAAAAAAAGAAGTTAAAAGATGTTATGAATGAAAACTTACAGAGAAAGCGTGAAGGTCTTCATTCTCTTGCATTCAAGTCTTACAAACCTGAGATCCAGAATAAGTTATTGATCATCAAAAAGAAAGCAAAACGCAAGAAGCACAAATCTGGTAAGCTAACACAAATGGGTGAGAATTACATTTAAGCATACTTCAAGTTCTTTCAATTAGACATTAACAGAATGAAATGCACATGTGTCCATATGTGGTTGTGAGCATGCCCGTGTGTGCGTGTGTGTCAAGTTTTATCCCCAGAGCAGAAGAGGTTTTATTACTAACAAATAAAAAATACTGGTGCAATTCTCAACTGAAAGTCTTTGGACGTTATGTGTCCAGTTTCTCCATAAGTGATGCTGTCCATCACTGATGAGAAGTGTTTTTTTTTCCCCTGGGTAAGAGCAGTACACTCTAATGGAAAAACACTGATATCAGGAGATACCATTCCCAGAATTAAAATTCATAGCAACTAACTTCTTAAACAAAAACGGGTCAGATTGTCTTCTTGGGTCTCAGTTTTTTCCCACATCATATATTTTTCAGCACTCTGTTTTTAATTTGTATTTGCATATCCAGAAAGTGTTAATGAAATGTAAGGGAAGAGCTATATCAACTAGTAAGACATGACTCATTTTTATAAAAGGATTTGTAAATTTGTCTTACACTGAATTTAAATGATATATTTATCACATGCCTATTTAAACAAGAAAACAAAAAATCTATAAATATGGTATTCAGTGGGTGATTGCTCTGTTTTTTTAATTACTCGGGTGCTTTTGCTTTTCCTATTCTTTGCCTTTTAATCAGTTTAAATGTCTCATTGAGAGGATAGATGAGATAAAAGCAGATGATTAACTTCATTTATTAACCTAAATAAAAAATTGCCTGACTAGGAAAAACTTGAATTGTTTACTAAAATAAATTGTGCTTTATCATCATTATTTGTGGATTTCGGTTTTTATTCCCTGCCTCAGTAACAAAGATAATTAAGATTTGGCAGTAATTTGAAAATGAGTTGACAAATGAGGGCATAAATTTAGTTTAACTGTTATAATAGCCGTTATACCTTAGTTATCTAAATCATTAAATATAATTAAATGTATTTTAAAATGTATGTGTACTGTATCATTGATAAAGAAGTATTATAAAATTTGCTAGCAAAAACAGGTTTAATTTGTTGAACTGAAAATTGCATAGTGGTCCACATTGATCCAAGCAATAAAAAGCTACAATATTTTAAAGTAACTTTCAGAAATAAACCTTTTAAATTTTACAAGCAATTCATTAGTCTATATACATTTAGTTTGATTGATTTGGCTAGTTCTCTGAAATGTTAACCTCTGAAATATTAAATATTTTTAAATTTGAAAAACTTTCCAATTCTAAAGTATGTAATACTGTTTTATTAATACCCTTTATTTCCTAAAACCCTTTATTAAGTGTTTATTTATAACCTACTATTCATGTGTTCAAACTTAATTATGAATTAAAGTGGTTTATATAATTAACAATTATTGATATAGCAGAATAAAAATATTAATTGCTAAGGATTGGGTTAAAATGAATTTACATTGTAAGAAAATAAAGTGTTGCTACATTTTTGAAATAATAAATTCAGAATGTAGATCAGATAGAAAATTTATGAGAATTTCATGTCCAGTTCTAGACAAGTGAATGAAAAAAGTCAGAAGCAAATTCATCTAGCAGTTGTGTACTCTCTCTGCACCTTTTTTAGTTGAGAAAATGCTTACAGGCATGAAATAGAAGAAAATAATGTATTTGTCTATACACTTGCTCATTTTTATCTTCAGAGCAAATTTTAGGAAGTCATTCTTCAGTGACAAAAATACTTGGATCTGGTAAATACAGTTTCTTTGTCCATTGTTATCACTGGGTAAGCATAGGCCAATTCTCTTTCTTCATCAGATACTAAATTTCTTACTGTTATTACATTGTTACATAAAATGTTGTAACAACAACAAAACATTTGTTTTACATCATTTTGCCCTGGGTTTCTTTAGTAGATATGAGACATTGTGTGGCCTTTTATAGTCAGTTTTGAGCATACTTGTTGTTGAATCCAGTATTTCCTTTCTCTTTTTAAGAGTGAGCTCATGGTGATAGGTTTGGGAGCTGTTCCTCTTATAGACTCATATTGCACATTAGTACAAGTCTACAGTGCATTTTATGTTTTGGAATTCAGAAATCTTTAGATTTTAGAAGGATGTTAATGATGTATATAGTGTTTATGAAATAACATCTGCAGTGAAGCTTGGAGCAGCCTCTTTAATGAAATATATAATTTCTACAGAAAAAAAAATGTATGAATAGTCAGACTAAATGAGATGAAGACTATTAAGAACCTCATAACAATTCAGGTCAGATTTGCTACCATATAAATTAAGTTTTTAAACTAGTTTTCAGAATCTTTTGGACTTTAGAATTGTGGTTAATTGAGTATGTGCCTGTATATTAAGGACTCTGCAAAGTCTTGAAGAAAAGGAAACTTTAGTTTTTTTTAACTTAGTATTTTTTAAGTTTATTTGAACACAGAGTTTGTTTGTTTTTGTTATTTTCTAAATTATAGTATTGTATAGCATATGCTTTGGGATAAGCTGTGTCATCCATGACTGATTTATGAAACTTAATTTAGGGTGCACTAAATTCTACATGTAGTTGATCTGGTGATTCCTTTTATGTTGTAGTATTGGTTGCATCTCCAAATTTAGTAAGCCTTCTCGTTGTGATGGGAGATGATTTTTAGTAGAAAGCATAAAGGGAAATTGGTTAAAAATGATTTCATAATTTTAACACACCATGAGGCCATTTTGTAACTTTAAGCATTTTTATCTATTTTTCAAGATGGGAGTTTTCTTTCTGCTTTTTAAAAATTTTGAATTCATTTTTTAATTATTTAAGCCTATTCCCTACTTTTGGAAACATTACAGAAGAACATCAGAATTTTTCTTAATGGGTATACTTATAGCACCAGATACTTCCCCTTCATGATAATTATTTATAAGACCTGTTCACAACATTTACATTTATTTCTAGATTATTTTGGTTATTATCTCCCCTCTATTCTATAACAAGTTTTAGCCTTGATTCAAATTAAGTTTAATAATTTCCATAGCAGTAAATCTGAAAGGATAGTAAATTGTCAGTGAAAGTGCTTTTGAGAAGGCAAGCATTTCTTTACATAGATTAGGAAGATTAGGAAATATTTACACACAAGTTGCAAAAAAACTGGAGTTAAACTTTTTTTTAACTTGTTTTTAACCTGTATCTTGTCATCATAGTGTCAATTTTAGAGCTAAGTCGGTTTTCTGGAAAGGCAGAGTTTCCTGTAATAGGCAAAAGTTTACTTAATATAAACCTTTGGAAGACCATTGACTAGTAACTTTGAGACCGTTAGTTTGTGTTGTAATGCACTACATTTGTTAGAGTATTTATTGCAGAGAACAGTCAGCGGTACTTGGCACTGTAGGTTAAATTTGTGGCCAACCTTGGGATCATTGATCCTCTGTTTATAACCTTGATCTTGCTATAATTAACTAGTTATTGTATGAAAATTGAGCATTTTTTTTTGTTGTTGTTGTTTTTTTAAGGAAAAAAATGTTATCTCCCACACAAGTTCTGTTCAAGTAAATGTAAATACTGACTTTAGCAGGTAAAGACACGAAGTAAATTCTCTTTCTCCCGCAATGAGTTTGAACCTGTTTCCCTGCAGCCTGATGAAGTTGTGTGAAAGAATTACTGAACATTTTGGGTACAGCTTTTTTTTTTATTTTTATTTTTTATATGTTCTTATTGATGTTTTTAGAGAGAGAAGAAGGGAGAGAGAGAGAGAAACATCAATATGAGAGAGATACATCGATTGGCTGCCTCCTGCATGCCCCCTACTGGAGATAGAGCCCACAACCCGGGCATATGCCCTGACCAGGAATCAAACCAGAACCTCTCAGTCCATGGGACGATGCTCAGTCCACTGAGCTACACTAGCCGGACATGGGTACAGCTTTGAAAATGATGATGTCATACAAGTGACCAAAAAGCCCAGGCTTTGTACAAAGATTAACTGTTTGTTTATTTATGTTTAGATTCTCAATATTCTATAACTTTCTTGAAGACATAAGGATTATTTCTGGTTTTGCACAGTGACTGACTGACTCATTGTGTAGGAATCTGTTGAATAAATAAGTGCACCAAGTATGGTTTACCCAGATATAACTATGATTAACCACTTCTTAATATGTATCTTTCATATCCTTTTCAAGATATTTATAACTTTGAGTAGGATCATGCTATATATACACCATTTTACAGACTTTTTTTTTTCTCTCATGATAGTATACCATGAATATCTTTGTGCAATAAATGGACTTCTGCAGTATTGTTTTAAATTACTACATAGGATTATGTTATGTGTATTCTGTAGTTATTTAACCAGCCTTCTTCATGAACATTTTGGTTGTTTTCATAATATGCTATTATAGATTGTGTAGAGCAGGTAGAGTTAGCTGAAATTAATTAGGAATTTTAAAAATTAAAGGAGCCCGGCCATTGTGGCTCAGTGGTTGAGCTTTGACCCACGCACCAAGAGATGTCTGGTTCGATTCCCAGTCAGGGCACATGCCCAGGTTGCGGGCCGATCCCCAGTGGGGGCACGCAGGAGGCAGCCAGTCAGTGTTCTCTCTCATTGATGTTTTTGTCTCTCCCTCTTCATTCCTCTCTTTCTAAAAATAAAGAAAGAAAAAAAGATTAGACTATAAAATGTCAAGTAGAGGGTAAATCAATGTGTGCAAATAGTCCAGGAAGCTTTCTTTGGGGAAGAAGGGCTTTGAAAATAGTGGGGATTGGATAGATGAAAAATGGTTAATGATGTGAGCAAAAGCATGGCGGCATAATTAAGTCAGGTGTCACTGAAAAAGTTAACACAGAAAAACTTAAGGTATAGTTGAAAAGTTGAGGTTTTAGAAGTTGTTTGAATGATGATGGTGATATACTATTTTTGGGTGATATATTTCTAGGAAGGTAGTGCTATTTTAAATAATTGAATCAGGACAAGGAAAGCCCAGTACAAGGAAGTGAGCATGAAATAAGATCTGTCAAAT